GACTTGCAACGCTGGTGGGCGAGCTCGCGTCTTGAATGGCCGGGAGTAGTCCCCTCGAAGCGCTAGGGTGATGGGTCGCCAACAGCGGGTCAGTCGTGGCAAGGTTTGTCCGCCTCGCGACGTCTTGCAGCTGATACAGAGGGTTTGGTCGGGCCGTGGCGGGCAATAGCGTGCGGTCCGCTGGCCTGAAAAACCAAAAAGCTCTTGGGTGATGGGGTCGTCGACCGTCAGAATGGGTGGTGGACTGGCTGATGACGAGGGTTGACGCAAGGCAGAAGTTCGCTGCGAATTCACACAACGCCAGCCTGAGCGCGAGGAGGAAGCTGATAAGAAGAGAATAGAGAGAAACAGACAGAGAATTCGACTGAACGGGGTGCTCGGTCACAGGATACTCTTGTTCACCGGTGCCGGTCTGGCCCCCTCCCCTTCACGACCACAGCAGGGTCCCAAGCGAAAAGTAGTCACGTCCGGGGGGGTTAGCTTTTCTTCCTCATTTGCCTTAGCACAGTGTTGTTATTCCCAGTCGATGGCCCCCCTGTTCAAGCTACCGGGGAAGCAAAAGTCTCTAGGCGCACCAGGGGATGACCCGGATGTTGTGGACGGATGTGCAAGTGACGGGGATGCAGAACGACCAGTCGGGTCAGAGTGGACGAGGAGCAGTCGCGTTGACCGGGGTGCATGAGAAGACGAGCAGGGGACGGTGGATCGCTTCAGCGAACCGTAGGTACTGACGCCAGAAATCACACCTCCAGGCAGGATTTGTGACAAGCCCAGGGTCCCATCCGGGACTTTCTGCGGCCGCCTATCTGGTTGGTGACGGAAGAATCCAGGGTGCGGAACGAAGTAGGTGGTACTGATCCATGGGGCTGTAGCAGGTATGTGATGCAGTTTGCTTTCTTTCTGAGAGAGTCGTTTTGGCTGGGTGGCTGGCCCGTTTGGGATGTGGATCATCGAGGAAGGTTACAATATGCCGAGCCCAGGGCTGCCAGGGTCAAGGGGAGGACATCTGCAACGCCTGGTCACTTGCGGCCTCCACGTTTTGACGGGTCATGACGAGCAGAGACCGAGCAGGGCAAAGCTCAGGCTGGGAAGTCTGATGCATGCGAGCCTTACACTCACTGTACGTCTGCCACACCTGCCGCTTGGGAGCGGTGGCTTATTGGTGCCCCCTCTGGCGCGTGTGGCATGGCCCAAGCCGAGGGGGAACAGAACCTGAGCCAGGGGCAGCTTTGTCAGGGCTTCTTCTCGTGAGATTTGCTTGCGGGATCATCGACAGCATGTGTGACAACATGTTTGCTTGGGTGGCTCCGAAGGAAATGATGACCATGTCAGACACGGCAAGAACAAGGTCGGTTGACCGATGAGTGGAGGAGAGGAGAATTTGCGGTGTCGGTGGCAGTCTCGGCACCAGGATCCAAGCCTCAGCCAGCAAGCCCCCCAACCTTGCCACGGCTGCGATGGAGAGTGAGAAATGGCTGTGACGGTGGACGCCTACGGCAGGAGTCTATGCTACGGCAGAGCTTTCTCCTGGGTAGGTAGGTACGACACAACAGGGTATGCTGTGTGTCCCTAGTGTCCTGTGAAAAGCGTGATATTGTCGGGTGGATCAGGGGGTGGCCAGTTCCTCCTGGTGGTGAAAGTAGTTCGTCAGGCCCAGGTCCCGTTCCGTCGCCAGGTTCCAGGAACGGGTAAAAGGTTGGTGGATGGGGATGGCTGTGCATGGGTCAATGTTGGGGCGCACCCCGATGTACCCACACGGCGCGCGGTGCTGCGAGAGCTGTACCGAGTAAAGCATCGATGTGCTGGTGGTTTGGGAGGCAAGCTAGTCGCTGCCATCTTGAGCCAGATCAGCGTCTGTTGCAAGCCCTATCCTGTCCGCCTCGCCCTGGGTTCGTTCGGATTCGGAGCACGCATCTCGGGCGTTCGCATTGTTCGCCTTGCAGCGGCTGCGACCGAGCCGCCCAACCGTCGTGACGCTTCATAGGTATTGGCTTGCGGCAATGTCAAGCTGGGATCCCTGACGATCGCTGTTGGGACACAGGACACGAGCCTCCAGGCCCAGGGCTGCGTAGCTTCGTAGCAGATAGACGTCATGGACAGCCAAAACATGAAGAAAAAAAAGGTTGGGACGAAAAAGCTGCGAGACCAAACAGCACAGCCCCGGCCCTGGCCACTGGGGGAACTCACCCCGTTACCCGCCGCCTGCCAGCTTTACCAACCGTAGACGAACACGCAGTTCGCAGATAGTGGTCGAGACAACCCCCCATCCTCGATCCTGTTTCGCCAGTGCCTGGCGAAACCAGTGGACATGGTGCTCCAGACCGCTGGGGCGTGGGCTGGAAGATGGAAAGTGAGATATGACTGGTGGGCGGTAGGGGTATGCAGTTTGAGGTGTGGTGCCGTGCGTGTGGAGTGTGCATGCGCTTCTGGCCAAGGTGACGAACAGGAAACGAGCAAGGAAAGTGGTGTGGGTGGAGGACAATATCAGGAGACGAGCCCGAGCAACGCAACGCCATCTGTATGTGACGAAGAATGAATTTGCAATGAGTCGTCGTCGACTGAGGATGGAAACAAGGTACATGTACGAGCGCAGTGGCATGGGAGAAGCGAGGCAAAGCAAAAGAGCTAATTTTCATTGGGTTCAGCACTAACTGGATGCACCTTCTTTCTGGTCCTTCACCCACACCTCCTTCCCATCGCGTCAGGTAGGTCCATGACTAGGCAGGTACATGTATGGTAAGGTAGGTACCTAGCCAAGGCACCTTCATGATGGAAGGCATATGCCGTGTAGTCCCTCTCTCCTTCCTGTTGTTTCAGGCAACACAACTATCGTTGGAAGGCACTTTCCGTGACTCCGGAAAGTACCTTTTTGGTGCATCGTCACTTCCAGTCTCCGCAGCCTTGATCCGATCATCTTTCCTGTCTCCTACAGTCCCTGATGTTTGGACAACAGATAGGTACCTAGGTATGGTGGGACCCAAGGACGCCCTCGTCCCAAACATCAGACTCTTGTCCCCAACAGCACCATTCATCAATATTGGCGTTGATCCTCTCGCCGCCCTCACCCACCCCTCATCGGATCGTCACTCATCACCGCCACGTTGACCGACACAACGGAACCCGCTTGTTGGCTTCCGGAAGTTGGGCACCAAGGGACCCATGGCCTGACCCTGTCATCGACAAGTACAGAACCCGCGTGCTCAAGTCCACCCGCGCGCCGCCCATCCATACCCGCCCGCACGCAGCAAACACTATGTGCAAGCCATCCCTGCTCCATGCATTAGGAGCATTAGGTTTGGCCTGTCCTCAACGCTGCAGCACGCTCGTTAGCAGCCCATGGCGGGGGGGGGGGGGATACGCTGGCGCACCGCGGAAGCCTTCCCCTGTGCCTGTCCCCTGCTCAGTGCCCACTCTGGATCAGACAAGAAGAAGGAAAAAAAAAAAGTCAACTTCTTCTCAACCGTCAGTCACTGACCCTGTTCACACCCGCCCCTGCGGCCCTGGCAAAGGTCCAGGCGGGTTTTCTATGGAGATCTCCCATCGACCCTACGCCATCCGTCACCACCCTACCACCATGTTCCACCGAGGCCTGTGTCCCAGGCCAAACACCAATCTATCAACACACAGTACGAGCATCTGTGATCCCCTGTCAACCCTGTCAACCCGGGGAACTGGCTCGGTGTGCAGTGGACGAGAGATCATGCGTCTTGGTACCCTGTTCATCCGCCATCGATGCCCCATAATTCTGAGGCGGCCTGCTTGCTCAAACTCGAAAGCCATGGCCTTCTTTTTGCTCTCGATCTTGGATGTCACCTGTACATGTACATGGTACGCCGTTGAGGTCAGTCCGGAACGTCAGAGTCGGTTGCCTTCCTCACAGCCAACTTGTTGGCCAATGCCAGGCACGATGTTTTTGGCAGCCAATATCGTCAAGCCACAAAGCACGTCACACCACACGTCACCTGTCGAGTGTCCCCCCACACTCGTCTTGCTCGCTTTCGAGACATTGAGGAGCGCTGGCGCGGCTTCTCGTGACCCCCTTTGCCCCCCCCCCCCCCCCCCAATCCAGGGACTTCATCACAAACGACCCCGTATTCGAAACCTCTGGTTGGTGGCACAGTAATCTTGCAAACATCTCAATAAGGTCTCCTGCGGCACAAATTATGTGCAGCCCCTCGTTCGGCTTTACCCAAAACTTCCTCATGAAAACAAGGACCGTGTCCTGACCGGGCCACAAATACCCTGTCCTGATTACCTCTCAACTCAAGGCCGTGAATGGAAATGAAAAACAAAAATCTTCTTTTCATTTCCTCTCCCAAAAACGTTGCGGTTCTTCTGGTATCCCCCCACAACGCCGCCTGGGGCACCCCTGGCCAAAGCCAACCGAGGAAGCTATCCACGTCACCGTTGCCCTTTCCCCAACCTCA